ATAATATTAGGCCAATTGAAATTGGTACAACCTGAACACCCCTAAGAAGAGCAAAATTTCTTCTCTCTCCTCAAACCAAACAAGGAATTAAAGAGCGAGAGAGGGGTCTCTCAACTTTTTTTTCCTCATTTGCCCTCCACTTCTCAATTATCACCATTTATTTTATTTTATTAACTTGTATTTTAAATACAAATTTACTGAATAATGATGATTGAGCAGTGGAGGGAAAAAAAAAAGAGAAAAGAAGTAAAGGGACTCTCTCCCCATAAAGCATCTTCCAAGCATATATTTGAAGGTATATATTAAACAACCTTATGTTCTAGTAGCCAATAACAACTCTCTAGTGGAATTATTGTGTAGATAGAACTAGAGCTGTCAATTAAGGCCGAGTCCGTCAGACCAACTCTTTTAAGCCTGAAAATAACTACAGCTGGGCCACTATTTTAGAAGAAAAAATGATAATTTAGGCTTAAAAGGATCAGCCTTTTTAAACCCGAAAATAAAAGGGTCGGCCCTTTAGGGTCAGGGCTGACCCTTTTCAGCCCTTTTATTATTTTTTAAAATTATAATATAAAAAAATAAAAGATTAAATATATAACTCAAAGAAATAAACATATTAAATGCATTCATCCATCCTTCATTTATTTATTATGATTTAGCTGATAATATTAGCTAAGTCTAATTTTTATTAGTATTAACTTTAATATTGTCATTTGATATTATACCTAAATATTTTAGTTTTATTTATTGTTGTGGTGTAAATTAATTTAAATTTATTTTCTTAAACTTAATTTTATGTATAATAACTTTTTTATGATTATAAATATATTTTTTATAATTTTAAATTAAAAAAATAAAAAAATAGGGCCGAGGCCCTGACGGCTGGCCCTTTAACCTTAAGGGCTAGGGCCAAGCCTTGTAAAAAGGAACCCTTACATATAATCAGGCTTATTAGGGCCAGCCCGTTTAGGCCTTAGCCCTTCAAGGGCCGGCCCTAATTAATAGCTCTAGACAAAACATTTAATGATATTAATATACTAATTATATATTTCCATTTCCATTATTTATAATCTATGTAAAAATATAAGATTAAAGGACAGTATTATCTTTCAAGTATCCAAGTAGGAACTATTATCCTAAAACCTTTTGTGGTGTAATGTTCTCCTTTAACAATTAAAAATAATATAAAGTTACTCTTACTATTAATAAATATTAACTTAAACTGTTATTTGATTAAAAATTATATAAAATGACCTAAAAATTACAAACATATATCTTATAAGAAATTTAATATTGATTAAGTCTCATAAATTACAAACAAATGCCAAGAGACCAATGTTATTCATTACAATGTAAAAAACAAAATATGATCTTAACCAAACACTTTGACAAGTTACCACATGATTGTTGGATCATCATTATGTGCAACAATATCATTAATTAATTAAAAAATGATATAATTTTAATAATATCCTATTAAAAATTAACACTTTAATGTTTAATAATTTGTACTGGTGTTATTACGAGCAATGATAATCTGATGATCACAGATCACCTAATAATTTGTCAAAGCAGTTGATCGAAATGGCATTTTGGTCTTTTATATGGATATAAAATATCATTAGTTTTTAAAAATTTATTTGTAATTTAAGGGACCTAATCAATATTAGTTTTCTTATAGAGCCTTTAATGTAATTTTTATGTCCTTGACTATAATTTTTTAAGTCAACTAATAATCAAACTTAACTTATTTAATAACGAGGTTAAATTGCTTTGTTTTCAAATGTTGAAGAAGAATATTATACTACAAAAATGTTTAGGATACTAGTTGAGGGGCAAAAATACTTTTCAATCCTCAAAATATATAACTTGATTGGTTGAAATTACAAAGCTGAAACACTTTTTTGTAATAAAAATGAATTACCAATTCAAAAGAGATTACAAGCTTTCAAAGTTCCTACAAATCTCTTTCGTCATTCATCACTTCTTGTGGAAGAGGTGGGAGATAATTAAAAATATACAAATTATTATCTAACTTACGAAAAAACCTAGCCAACTGGTTAGCATATAAAAATTGCATTCTCTAACGTGGCCCGTTTAGATAACTTTCATTTAAGCACTTTCTAAAAAAGCAAAAATACTAAATGCATTTGAAGGCAGATTTTGACAATGTAAATATGATTAGCTCTTGAAGCTCACATTTGGTTATTAGGCATTAATGAGAGATTTTTTTTTTGGTATGCATTAATGGGAGAGTTAATCGTGGATCTAATTTTCATTTGACCATATCACCCCTTCTCGCGAGTTTTCGCCTTCCTGTTTCTTTTTGTTAATTAGTTGAGCGGAGCATAAAGAGATGGAAAGAACATGTACTTCAACCAATCGTAGTCTGGTTTTACTTACTTTATCAAAAAAAAAAAAAAAAGCAGAGAGAGAGAGAGAGATGGAAAGAAACATATGGGAGGTGAGATGGGGATAGAATGGGCAATAAACATAATTATCAACACGATTTTCGCGACCCAAAATTATCCATGTAAAATATTAATAAATATGTAATGGACATAGTTTATTGGTAAAAAAAAAAAGTCAATAAATCAATTTATTTCTTGAAGCTGGTGTTAAGGAGAATGATAATTAAGAACACGGAAAAACAGTAATATACAACAACATGTTTATTGTTGAATTTTTTAGATTTATAATCCAAATTTCTATATTCATAACTTATCACATCTCATTATGGTCCTATTTATAAGATACCTTTTAAAAATTATTTTTGATCCAAAAAGTAAAAATATTTTAATAATTAAATTTTTATTTATTTTTTCGTGAAAGTATTTAATATAGTTGTTTCATTATTTAAAATCAATGATAAAAATAAAAATATATCATTCTTTATAATATAAAAATTTTTTTTAATATCTGTAAAATGATTAAAAATATTTTATAATTAAAATAAAAAAGGTTATATTTTATAATAAATGTCTTTTATCAAAATACCTTTTGACCAACGTAAACTAAACCGACACTAAATAAGAGACATAACATCAAGGACAAAGACCGAAGACATAACATTATGGCATCTTCAGCAATGTCTTTCAAAGGGCATGATTATATATTTCGGGCAACATTATCTTGCTAGAAGAACTTTCAAAACTACTACTTCATTACTCAATTTTTTTATCTCAAATTATAAAATATTTTTAAAAAAATTTAACGTTTTAAAATATAAAATATTTTGAGAAAAATAAAATTTTATTAATAATATTTTTTCAATATTACACTTCCCATATATTCTTTTTTTTCAATATTCTTTCATAAAAGGAGTATTAAATAAAGAATATTTTTAAAAATTTATATTTTTATTTTAAAAAAGTAAGGTTGTAAAGTGTATTTAATAAGCTTTATTATATTTAAGATTTTATTTGAAAGAATCCAATAATTAAGACGGAGGGAGTACAATATAAGTTATTTTTTAAAAATTTTACTTGATCTAAAATATAGGGGCATTAGATAAGCGTTATATATTTTTTTCTACTCAAGGGCACAATTTGAAAAGATGTGAAAATTTTAAAAAAAATTTAGATTTTGACCAACTTCTTTTTACAAATATAAATTAATTAATGATGATTTATATTATGGTTTTGAGGAAGTATATATGAAAGAATGCTGTTGGAGCAATTACCCATTTGAAATCATACATATAAAGGACTCGTGTGTAGAGCGGTGGATGAGAGTCAAGTTGTTTAAGCTATCTATCTTGGCCTTGTAATTTTTGAGTTATGGGCTTAAAAAAAAACAGGATTTTCACAAAAAAAGAACTTTTAAACCCATCTCTAATAAGTCCTTCAAAACTATTTTCTTCTCCCAGAGCTTGGACTAGCTCTTTTTAGGCCCTATAATTCTCTCTCTTTTTTTAAAAAAATTGTTTGATTGAAATTGGTAACATTACAAAATAATATGGTCAAAATTGTTTGGTTTATTTTCATTTTTGAATTAATATATAAAAATGATATAAATTTTTATGATATTTTCTCCCTTAAAAAATATAAGGATTGAATGTTAAAAAATATAAGACATTTTTAGTATTTTAAGATGTAAACATTATATTTTTTAAAAAAAAATACCCATAGTAAATAAGTTATTTTATATTTACTTTAAAGTGAAACACTCTATTGAATAGAGTTAAATTTGAAAAGATAATATTAGTTTAAAAATAATTAATTATTTTATTATAAGTAAAATTTAATTAAAAATATCTTATATTTTTTTTGAATGGAGGGAGTATGTATTAACATAATTAAAATTTAAATAAAAAATTTTAAAAAAAAAGTTACGTAGGCTTTCAAACTCGGCCTGGGCCTTATCAACAAAAGCTGAACTTGAAAAACACTATCAATGAAAGATATGGAAGCTCATAAGCTTAAGTTCCTAAGGATCAAACTCATAAGAACTGAATTTATAAGAATTGGGCTAGCTATATTGACAATTCTACTAATATGTAATAATTCTACTTATAAAGTTGAAATTATTACATACTCTCGGATTTTTGTGATGAAGGATGCCTAATATAATGAGAAATTACTCCAGGTAAAAAATAAATAAGAAGAACAAGTTATACTTTAATTTCAATTTTTTAGTCTAGTATTATGATTCTCACTTCATAGTCTCCTTTATACATTTACTAGGCAAATGATTTAACGTCTCAAGTCATTAATTTTGTTGAAAAATAAGATACCTTTATGATTTTACCTGTATTTAAATGAAAAAATTTTAAATTCATGTTACATTTTCTCTCATATGGTAAATAACTTTAGATGGGGGTAATGTTGAAAAAAATTAATCAATATTGTATCAGGTGATTTATAATAAGAACCATCTATCTCCTTAAAATCAAGAGGGAGTACATGTTGACAACTCTATTATTCTCATTTTCCATGAAATCAATCAAGTCAAAAACAATAATTTATCAGGTACCACAATATCATGAACATGGGCTCCTAAAAGATAATCGAAGTCGACAGACACCTTTTTTTTTTTTTTTTTTTGGGTTTGAAGCTTACCCTGAACTTGTAAAGGATGATAGATCAGGAGGATTTGGCACATCCACGAATCCTTCAAGCATCTGTACAACTTGCTTCATAGTGGGTCTTTGTGATGGATCATGTTGAATGCACCAAATACTAATCTTCACATACTTTTCTACCCTCTTCATATCAATCTGAGCTTCCCCATCATCTTCCACTAGCTCTTCAAACCTCCTATAGTGAAAGCAATCACATGCCCAATCTACTAGCACTATCTTATTCTCATCTTCAACATTACTGTCATAATTCTTTCTGCAACAAATAAGCTCCAGTAACATAACTCCAAAGCTGTGAACATCCACCTTTATGGTGATTGGCTTGTTTTTGAACCACTCAGCTGCAACATACCCTTTAGTTCCTCTTATTGCTGTTGTAGTTGCGGTCTGGTCAATCTTCAAGAGCTTTGCTAAACCAAAGTCTGAAATTTTAGCTGTGTGAGCGTCATCAAGCAAGACATTTTGAGGTTTGATATCACAGTGTATGATTTGACTGTGGCACTCTTCATGCAAGTACAAGAGCCCCTTAGCTGTTCCTATTGCAATTTGCACTCTTTGATGCCAAGTTGGCTTTTGACCTTTGAAAAGGAAGCTTGCTAAAGTTCCCTTACTCATGAATTCATACACAAGTAGCCTGTGATCTCCATCATTGCAGAATCCCAAAAGTTGCACCAGATTTCTATGGTGTGTTCGACCAATGGCACTCATTTCTGCTTCAAATTCTTGGTCACTTCCTTTTACCATGTTCAATTTTTTCACAGCAATGTGATTTCCTGGTATGTCTGGAAGAAAACCTTTGTAAACAATAGAAAATGCACCATGACCAAGTTCTTCTGTGAACCCATTCGTTCCTTTCCTAAGTTCTTCATAAGTGAAACTTCTGAGGTTCATGGTTGATGTGAATTGGACAGCTTGATCTTTAGGATTATTGTATCCAACTCTATATGCAACCACACAAGCTGCTACTAATAAAAGCAAGTTTAAGAAAACTGAACTACTTAAAAGTGTGGAACCTACAATAATCAATGTGGATTGATCATTCTTTCTATCAATATCATCGGGACTCAAAGTAGCATTATCCTTTCTTATTTTGATCAAAGCCTTGCCTGTTGAAAATATGTCAATAATTAAACAAAAATAATCAGAGTTAAGTTTAATGAGCAAACCTACAAATCCATTATTTTGGAAACAAATATAAACGCAGGAATCTCGATTAATTCAAGAGCAAGTAGATTCACAACTTACTAGACTCCTTTAATCTCTAAAAAGTAGAGAGAAATATGAGACTGTGTGGAAGATGGTGTGATGTTGAAAGGATGGAAAGTATGGTTATAAAGTGAATATAATTAATTATCAATATTTAACTTATCAAATCCTCTTGACCCAGTCAACTAAAAGTTAAGAAAAATAACTCACAACTAAAGGGTTATAGGTTAGGCTCTTACCTAAAGGATTGACTTGTATAGTCTACCTATCACAATCCACACAAGATTACAAAGAACCAATTAATCCATTCTAGACTCCATAACTAATTAATGCAAATCCATGATTTATTTAAGATGTTCCAACATTACCTCCAACAGAAGGATCCACTCTTCCATTAGAGAGAGGTTGCTTCTTCTTCCAGCAATCTCTATCTCTAAAGATAACAACAGAACAGAAGCAATCTTTCAAGCATGCTTATCTGCACCAATCCTCGCTCACAGATTCAAAGTGTTCATAGTCAGACAATCGCCAGTCCGTATCAGGCATCTCCTTGAAATCAAACAGATTTGTTTCTTCTAAAGAAGTACTTTGATCACAACTCTGTGAAACAAAGTCTTGTTTGCAACCTCTCATCACATCACTTGGATCAATGAAGCTGTAACCAGATGGATAATAGCAACTTTTATTGGTCCCATCTAATCTACAATAGCTATTGAAACCACAAGCTCCACTTCGTGAATTTTCACGAACACTTGAGCAAATATCCGGAGGTTTGAATGTCAAAGTTGACCAAGCTATCGGCATTCCAGCACTAGATCTTCCATCCTTGGGGTAGATATAGTGCCTAAAGACTCCATCATAATCAAGAATAGCTCTCTGGTAGAAATCTTGTGTAGATGGAGCATTTGAGGATATTGTACTCGCTATACTTCCATTATTATCTGCACGTAAGAATATATAGCCTGATAGATTGAACACCAAAGAGAAGCTTGAACCAAAAACTTGAGTACTCCAATATGCAAAATTTACATCATCCAGTGGAAAACGAGTTGTGTAAAGCACAAGATTCCCATCAGTTTGTAATCTAAGCTGAAATCTTCCTGTGGAATAGTTAGTAGCCAAATAGCGTGCAACAAGTTGAGCAGGTTGATTCAGAGCCTGTCCTGGTAAGATTGTGTCAGTTGGATGATCAAAGGTCTGCCATAGATTCTGAGAGTTTTGTCCAATCAACACAAAGTTGCCAGAATCAAGCATGGCTGCATGAGAAACTCCATTTCTTGATGAAGGGATAGCATCTGGAATCTGCTTACCATTAGCATCAACAAGTTGGAACAAACCAGATGAGGTTAGCTCAAGTTTAGCACCCTTAGGAGCAAGATTTTGTCTGTTGGATGACCAGACAATAGTTCTTTCTGGTATTTTGTTAAACCAGATGGCAAGCAAGAATCCATCTTCGTTGATTTGTTGGAAGCCAAATGCAAAGTCACCAGACGGTGAAGTGAAGAAAGAGTCGTCGTCTTCCCCAGCAGTTAGGGCAGTGCCTAGAGTGATGTTCTTGGAAGTTTGAGAGACCACAAAAGAGAAAGAAAGAAAGGCAGATAATAATAAGAGGGACAAGAAAATTGGATTTAGCTGCAAAAACGCCATTGGATCTTTGATGCATATTAAATGTCTGTGTTTTGATGAACGTGAGTGACGTAAGTGCTTCTTAATATAAGCATCGCGAGTTCTTGGGTTTAATTACCATGGAATATGGGGTGGTGGCGTGAAGAATGTGCATGAGAAAAGTCAAGCAATTATTAATTAATTTATATTTGAAATTTCTTGGAAAGTCAAATGATATTTAAATCATCTCCATCTGTAATCATCAACTCGCGTTGAAAAGTAATCTGGCAACCATTCACTTCTTTGACAAATTTGTGCAAGATCTAACAACCATTGAAAAGTAATACATGACATTCTTTACTTCAACATTATAAGGTAGTTTGTTTCCTCCTTTTATAAAACGCCTCCAATTATTTTATTGAAATTAAGAAGACATAGTTAAGTTATTAATTTTATTTGAAAATATAATAAATTTTTAATTTTATCTATTTGAAAATATAATAAATTTTTAATTTTATCCCTATTTTTTTATCTCTATTTAAATGAAAAATTTTAAAATTTATGTTACATTCTTTTTCATAGTTAATAAGTTTAAATAAGGGTAATATTATTAAGAAAAAAATCCTTCTAAAAGGTTCCTAGCTATTATAGGAACTGGAGGCAGTATATCTCTAATGAGGTAATTAATTGTATTTAATATTACATATTCTTTTCCTATTTACCTTGGTTTAATATGGTGTTTCAATAATTTATTAATTACATCTCTAATTAAAAATATTTAAAAAACATTATTAACTGCAAACCCAAAATGTCTTATAATTCTTATTGTCATGCTTTTTTTAAAAAAATATATATCTTATGATAATGAATGGTAGCAGCATAAACTTTAGATTTTTCGAAAGGATTGCGACACGTATTTAACTTGGGTGCTCATTGCTCTCATGTGTTGCTCATCGGGATGATAGAATTTGGATCGTCCAAATTGTTATTTAGACAATCCAAATTTAAAATTTTTATTTTTTATTTTAATTTTTTATTTATTAAAATAAAATTATAAAAATTATAAAATATTATATAAATATATTTCTCATTAATCTGGACAGATTTAATTTGGAGTCTCAAATTTAATATTAACAATTTTGATAATTTTTATAAATTAACTGTCCAGATTTACATTAGACAGTCCAAATTTAAAATTTCTAATTTCTAATCTTTTAAAAAAAATTCTAAAAATTTCTCATCAGGAGATTATTTTTATTTTTAATATTTTATTTATCAAAATAAAAATTATAAAAAAATTAATATTAAATCTGAACTGTCCAAAATACATATAAATAGTCAATTTATGAAAAAAAATTAATATTAAAATGTAATCATTCATATTAAATATGTAATATCCAGATTAATTGTGAACATATTTATTTAAAAATTTTATAAATTCTTATTTTAATAAATATAAAATATAAATTAAAAAATTTGGACCATTTAAATTAACCTAAATTTTTTTATTCAAGAAACGGTGCTCATCGTGTGCTATACACTGAAGACAGACTCATATATATATATATATATATATATGAGTCATAATAATTGGCAAATGATTACAATCTAATGTAAAAAATAGTAATGATGGAAAACTTTATTTCCGCCAAAAGTGAATTTAATTAAGATTGAAAAACGGAGAACAGAAACATGGCTGGCAGAATATCAACGAAGGAGCTCTAAAAATATTGAATATCTGGTAAGGTCAAACAAATAAATATTAATAAATTGATAAAAAAAAATAAAGTACTTGTCAAATATACATTTCTTTCAGGGATACTTTATTGATATTCTTTTAATATGAATGAGTATGTAAGTATCTTGCTAGCCATAGGTTTTAGCACTAATACAAGACTATTACTAATTAAACACAAATTTAAATTCAGTAACTGTACTTAATATAAACACTGAGTGTCTTTACCATTTGAGTTGTTAAAATACAAATCAACGGTTCAAATAAATTTATTTATTCATTAATCTTAAATGAGATATAAATTAATAACCATTAATTTAAATTTTAATAATTCAAATGGTGTAGATATTTAGTATTTAAATTAGATACAGTCACTAAATTTAAATTTATAATTATATACCAAGAGCATTCATTTTTGAAGGGAGAAAGAAGTTCAGCAAGGACGGCAGAGAATCCTAAGAAAAATGGCAACGTTGCCTGTCATAATTAATCATGCCATAAATTTGATGGAAGTATGCGTATGTCGCGCGCGCGCGCGTGTTTTTTTTAAAATCATATTTAAAAATTATTTAAATAAATTATTTATAAATAAGAACTAATAATAAATTTCATCTAAAAAATAATTTATATTTTTATTTTAATAACAATTCATCTCGTATTAATCATTGTCTGTAAATAATTATTTTTAAGTGATCTTTAAATGTAATTTTCTTTTTTTTTTTTTTTTTTTGTCAGGTGTTACGTGCATTTGCTAAAATTTTAAAAATAGCCCCCCTGCACACACACATATATAATGGTATCTTAAATATGAGTGTTATATAAAAGAAAAGCAATCTCATATGCAATGGTTTTTTTATGTTAAAAGAACAAATTAACTTATAAATTATAAATCTAGAATAGTTAAAATTAACTATTACTAACAGTAGTCGTTAGGGAGTTAAATTGCACCTTTTTTTAAAAGTTAAATGAAAATATTACGTTAAAAATGAATTTAAGAGTCTAAATATTTTTGGCTTTGTAACTTAGGGGGCTAATTTGTCATTTTACTTTTTTATTATAAAAATGAATGGGTTATATACTCTCAACATCTCAAAATATACTTGTTTTTATTTGATATTAACAAAGTTTAATTTTATCTAATTACTAAATATACAATGATATTTAAACAGAAAATGATTTTTTGCCATAAGAAAAATATGTATTGAATACAAGATCTACTGTATTTAATAGTTGATCATCATTATTTTGTTGATATGTTTAATATAATCATAAATTATGAATTAAATAATAAAATAAGTGAGCAAGCAACGAAGCTTTTAAAGTTAAAGAAATTCTTGTATAGACCACAAATATCACCACATCCATATTTTATTAAATAAAATTATATGAGTTTAATCAAATAAATATTATAAAATAAGTAAGCAAGCAGCAAAACTTTTAAAATCAGAAAAATTCTTGAATAGATCTTAAGTACCACCTCATCTGAATTCTATTTAATAAAATTATATCAGTTTAATAAAATAAATTTTTATGTATCATTATTTTTAATGACTTTTTTTAAAAAAATAGAACACTTTTTTTTAATTTTTCACATTTTTTCTCTCCCCTCATATGATGACAACAGAAAGAAAAAATGCAAACAATTAAAACAATTTAAATTGATATAAATAAGGGATAACATATAAGATTAAATTTATTTGACATGACATATTTTTATTAAATTAAATAGTATATAAATAACGTGTTATATTAGATTCATGCAAGAATTTCTTGGCTTTAAATCATTCATTACTGCTCTACCAGGAACATATGCAATCTTGTTGAAAAATTTTACTCGAAATATGACACTTCTTTTCCTTCTTATAGAAATTATTACATGTCTCAATTTATTCAACAATTGGATCGTTGGAGTTATCGTATTATTAGTTTAGGTTTTATCTTTTTAACCATAGGTATTCTTTCGGGAGCAGTATGGGCTAATGAGGCCTGGGGATCATATTGGAATTGGGATCCAAAGGAAACTTGGGCGTTTATTACTTGGACCATATTCGCGATTTATTTACATACTAGAAAAAAGAAAAGATTGGAAGGTGTAAATTCTTCAATAGTGGCCTCTATGGGATTTCTTATAATTTGGATATGTTATTTTGGGATCAACCTATTAGGAATAGGACTACATAGTTATGGTTCATTTACATCTAATTGAATTAAAATGAGTTGAGTAAAGGGCCTGACAAATACAAACTTAATAAGTATATTAATATTATGATAAGCATATTAATATTATTAATTAATAAAAAAATAGAAGAAAATAAGTAAAATGAATTTTATTTTAATAAAATAAAATAGATATCGATTAAGTAAAAGTCTAAGCAAACTTCGCATAAACCAAACCGTCGAGAACCCTTTAAATCAAGTAATGTAGTGATTCAAGGGGTTCTCACAAACACCAAATGTATCCGGTTACAATTCAAATTCATTTTTTTTAAGTTAATCTAGAGAAGAAAAAAGATTTTTTTCATTGTACAATGAACACTATTAAAAAAAATAGGATTTTTTGCTCTCTTTGATTTTCTGGTTTTAGTCATTTATTCATGAAAACTATCTATAAAAAATTAGATAGAATAGCTTCTACCTTGTCAACTGATAATGAGAAAATGAAATCCGGATAAATACCAATACCTATTACCGGTATAAGGATAGAAATCGAAATAAATAACTCTCGGGGCCCAGAATCAAAAAAGAAAGAGTTTGGTTTATTAAAAAACTTGTATCCATAGAACATCTGGCGTAACATAGATAATGAATAAATAGGAGTTAATATCCTTCCAATTACCATTACAAAAGTGATTAGTATTTTTGTCATTAAAAGATATTTTTGACTGGTAATTATTCCAAAAAAAACTATCAATTCTGCAACAAAATCGCTCATGCCTGGCAATGCAAGAGAAGCCATCGATAAGATACTGAAAACCGTGAATATTTTTGGCATTGGAATAGCCATTCCGCCCATTTCGTCGAGATAATAAAGACGTATTCTATCATAACTCGTTCCTGCCAAGAAAAAAAGCGCAGCACCAATAAATCCATGAGAAATTATTTGTAAAATTTCTCCGTTGAGTCCCGTATCGCTTATAGAACAAATTCCTATAATTATGAAACCCATATGAGATACGGAGGAATAAGCTATTCTTTTTTTTAAATTACGTTGACCAAGAGATGTTGAAGCTGCATAGATTATTTGAATTGCGCCTAATAGAATTAACCAGGGGGAAAATAGAGAATGAGCATGGGGTAATAATTCCATATTAATTCGAACCAATCCATATGCTCCCATTTTTAATAAGATTCCGGCTAAAAGCATACAAGTACTGTAATGTGCCTCTCCGTGGGTGTCTGGTAACCATGTATGTAAGGGTATAATCGGTGATTTGACAGCAAAAGCAATAAGAAATCCAATATAGAATATTATTTCCAGTGCCACAAGATACGATTGATTAGCTGATGTTTCAAAATTTAACGTTGGTTCATTCGAACCATATAAACCGATACCGAGAACTCCCATTAATAAAAAAATGGAACTTCCTGCAGTATACAAAATAAACTTTGTAGCTGAATACAAACGTTTTTTTCCACCCCACATGGATAAAAGTAGATAAACAGGAATTAATTCTAATTCCCACATGATGAAAGAAAGTAAAATGTCTCGAGAAGAAAATGATCCTATTTGACCGCTATACATTGTTAACATCAGGAAATGGAATAATCGGGATTCCCGAGTAACCGGTTGAGCCGCTAAAGTAGCTAAAGTGGTGATAAATCCCGTCAGTAAAATAGGGCCCATAGAGAGTCCATCTATTCCGAATCTCCAGTAAAAATCAAAAAATTGGATCCATTTATAATTCTCCGTCAATTGGATTAATGGGTCGTCCAATTGGAAATGATAACAGAATGCATAGGTTGTTATAAGGAGATTCATTAAGCATATAAAAATAGTATATCACCTAATTACCTTATTTCCTCTATGGGGAAATAAGAAGATTAAGGAACCCACGGATATTGGGAAAACTACAACTATTGTTAACCAAGGAAAAAAATTCGTGGTAAAAATAAGATACACTTGGGCCAGAAAAACCCGTGCTCAAAATGGAAAAAAATCTTTTCCATTTTGAGCATGGGTTTTTGTCAGTAAAAAAATGGTATTCATATGTGGTTTTTTGAAACGTATCAATAAGCTAGACCCATGCTTCGAGTTGTTTCATGCCATAAATAAACTCGAACACTCAAGAAATCTGTTGGACAGGTGGATTCACACCTCTTACAACCAACACAGTCCTTTGTTCTTGGAGCAGAAGCTATTTGCTTAGCTTTACATCCGTCCCAAGGTATCATTTCTAATACATCTGTGGGGCAGGCTCGGACACATTGAGTACATCCTATACATGTATCATAAATCTTTACTGAATGTGACATTGGCTCTATTTATTTTTGAATATCAGCAATTTTTGATCTAGTAAACTTGTAAATGAATCATATATTTCGACACCAGATGAATCAATGATTTACCAGAATTTTTCTAATCAATCTACCTCTGGATCAATTCATAAGACAGGGCCAAGATACTTTGATTTCTTATGTTTTCGTAAAGATGATCGTACGTTATCATACATGCGAATTTGAATTGATAAATATTCAAATTTCAATATTCGAAATTCAAATTTTTTCTGATTAATACTATTTATTCAACAAATTCGATTGATTGATACGAGTTGATTTTCTATTACGATAAATTGACGAAACAATAGCCGGTCCAATAGCTGCTTCAGCGACTGCAATAGCTATAACAAAAATGGAAAAAAATCTCCTTTTAATTGGCGACTATCAAAAAAATCAGAAAAAGTTACGAAATTTATATTAACCGCATTCAGTATAAGTTCAAGACACATAAAGGCTCTAACCATATTTCGGCTTGTGATCAATCCATAGATACCGATAGAAAATAAATAGGCACTCAAAACAAGTACATGTTCAAGCATCATTGACCAACTCCTTATCAATTTCGATTCATTTCAATATGAACAACACTTCAACAGATTCGATTGACTAGAGAATATAACAAGTACAGACTAAAAGAAGATATTTGTAATAAGTGGAATAAGAAAATTCTTTTAAACATAAACAATCTTTCACTTTCCCATTCACATGTAAAATTCAAAGGAAATGGAGATAAAATAAATACAACAAAATGGAATTTAGATTGATATTACTAGTTCTATTCTTACTGGCGAGCCACAACAATTACACCTATCAAAGCAGCTAAAAGAATTATTGAAATGAGTTCAAATGGAAGAAAAAAATCTGTTGATAAATGAATTCCAATTTGTTGACTATTATTTATCAAATCTTGCTCTATAATCTGATTTGATCTTGTAGTCCAAATAATCCCGTACCATGATGTATCTGGAATAGTAGTTATTAGTGAAACAAAAATACTTGTACAAACCACCAAAGCAACTCCATCCCCAATGGTCCAAAGATGAAAATCTTGGTAATATTCTGAACCATTTATGAACATCACAGCAAATATGATTAAAACGTTTATAGCTCCTACGTAAATAAGTAGCTGTGCTGCAGCTACAAAATGGGAGTTTGATAAAATATAGAATAAAGATATACAAACAAGAGCCAATCCCAACGAAAAGGCAGAAAAAATTGGGTTGGTAAATAATACTACTCCTAGACTTCTTAATACAAGACCTGAGCCCAGAAAGATTAAAAGAAAATCATGTATCGGTTCAGGTAAATCCATTAGATGTAAAATAAAAGATAAATAAATTGAAATTTCATGACCTTATTGATACGACCAGGAAAAAATTTGATATACTAAATTCCTAATTGAATTAAATCCTAAGGAGTGTGAATTCATCTAGGTACAATTAGAGGACTAATCTAATTCTTTATACGAACGAGTAGTTCGAAACTATAAACTATATTAATAAAATCATATAAATCTTTTAAATAAATAAAGAATTTTATTTGAATTGAATTGTTCGAATTGTATAATCGTCAATTACTGACATTGGTAAACGGCCCAAAGCAATTTGATTATAATTCAATTCGTGACGATCATAAGTCGAAAGTTCATATTCTTCAGTCATTGATAAACAATTTGTTGGACAATACTCAACGCAGTTACCATAAAATATACAGATCCCGAAATCAATACTGTAATTAAGCAATCGTTTCTTTTGAATATCAGTTTCCAGTTTCTAATCAACAACGGGTAGATCTATAGGACATACACAAACACATACTTCACAAGCAATGCACTTATCAAATTCAAAATGAATTCGACCGCAGAAACGTTCCGATGTTATTAATTTTTCATAAGGATATTGAATAGTTACAGGTAAACGATTTGCGTGGGCTAAGGTAATCATGAAACTTTAACCAATGTACCTTGCAGCTCGTACTGTTTGTTGACCATAATTCATGAACCCAGTTACCATAAGGAACATATCGTGAATATCTATGAATATTTTTGTTTTATTTCTTTCTCTTGTTTGAGACAAGTTATGAATATAGAATATCAATCTTTTATAGTGAAAACAGTCGAAACGAAGTTGTTAATAATAGATTACCCAAAGAAATAGGTAAAAGAAATTTCCATCCATGATTTAATAATTGATCCATTCTTAACCTAGGCAAAGTCCATCTTGTTGTGATAGAAAGGAACAAGAACAAATAAGTTTTAGCTAATGTAATAAAGATACCAATTGTAGTTCCAAAAACTCCACATGTTTTATTTATTTCAAAAAGCTCAGAAACAAATATGTACGGAATATAGATATTCCAACCGCCCAAGTAAAGAACTGTTACAAATAATGAAGAAACTAATAAGTTTAAATAGGAAGCAACGTAAAATAAACCAAATTTGATACCCGAATATTCGGTTTGATAACCTGCTACTAATTCTTCTTCTGCTTCTGGTAAATCAAAAGGTAATCTTTCACATTTCGCTAGGGAAGAAATTAGAAAAATGAGGAAACCTATAGGTTGACACCATAAATTCCATCCCCAAAAACCATATTTTGATTGCGCGTCAACTATATCAACTGTACTTAAACTGTTAGATAATCCTAGTCGGTGATAATATTACTGTTCCCATCGCTATTACAGAACCGTACATGAGATTTTCACCTCATACGGCTCCTCGAAGGCCATAAATAAATCTAAGGGACTGGGCTGGTTATTTATCTTGATATATCCCTAGGATAGATAGGATTCAAATCCATTGGACGGTCCTGAATTAGACCAATTGAATTCTGTCTGTTATAATAATAAATACAAAAAGGTACTTCTGAATTGATCTCATCCCTTAATAATTTGAATTTGTTGAGTAATAATTGAATTCTTCAATTCAATAAAATACTTCTTTAGAATTCTCAATAACCCGTCATTTTCGATTACGTAAAAAAATTAGACACTAGTTTATGAATTATGACATAAATTGTATTTCCATAAATATGGATATAAGAAAGAATCTAAAGGGATCCCTCTTTTTTTAATTGTATTCTATTCTTTTTGTATTTTTTCGTTCCTATTCTTCTTTTTTTTATGTGCAAAACAAAAAGGGACTTAAAAAAAATTAAAGAATTATTTCATTTCTGATAGTTATTTATTTAATCAGTGGATAGGAGCATACTCTGGATCGGAATTGTGGGGAGTACTGCCTGATTTTTTCTACCAACTTAAAGCCCCAATTTGTATTCTTTTTATATTATGCAGAAATGCTCTTTTGGAGAATTTACATAATCTCCATTACTAATCCTTTGTGTATCTTGGTGTTTCTAACCATCCACGTATTTTTTAGCAATTTCCCCTTATGGTAATACATCTATGGTAATTCATACAAACGATAGTGAAAACTCAATAAGGTTGGTCTTTGGAGCCCGCTTCAAAACAGGATGATTAATTAACCAATTTTGGGGTAAACGCTTTCTTCCGCTTATCATTTTTTTTTCCACTTAATTCTTATACATAGAAAATGAGACTCAATATTTTTACTACGGATTCAAATGAAATTCAAATCATAGTATATTAATTCTATATATTAATAATTAGAATTAATATTAAGAATTTTAAATAATTTTCTATTAATTTAGATTAATATTCAATATTTTATTATATTCTTAAATATTATATATTAAAAAATATCTATTTTTTTATTTTATTAATAAATATTGAATTTCATTGAATTTCAATTTCATTAAATTAATAATTCAAATTAGAATATTTTAGATATCGAATATTAGAATATTAAATCAATGAATAATGAATAAATAGAAGCTGTTTTATTTCACTCATATAACTATCTGATTTAGTTCATCAATCCGAATTTCGAATAAAAATAATGAAAATCCAAAATTTGGATATCTATTCCAATTTTTCTACCCCTTTCTTATAAAGAAGAAAAGAAATAAAGACGAAAAGAAAGGAGCATGGAAAAGTTTCTGTCTCAACGAATCACACGTAGAGATATTGATAACACACATAGAGTTAATGGTATTTCATAACTAATCGATTGAGCAGTAGCCTGTAGA